TCTGCCTCCTGAGTAGCTAGGATTACAGATGTGAGCCAGCAGCACCCAGCTGACACCACAATTCTTCCAGACTTACTATCTCTGAATTTTCCCTCACTCTCCCCACTTCTCAAACACCAAGTCCCATATTTTTTCTGCTCCCTCCTCTCTACCAGCACAACTACCATCAACAAGGCTCTTCCTGGCCTCACACCTGGGCTGCACATAGCCCTGCTCAGTCTTTCTAGAAGACTCTCACCATATCCCACCCATGTTCATAAGTCTTCTAGGTTTCTCACTGCCCACAGGACAAAGTTTAAACCCCAGGTTTTCCTCCCGTTTTCCCACTCCCAGACACAACCCTCCTGTCCAGTCACTATTGTATGAATATGCCCTGATCTTGCCAACCAGAGCTCCAGCTCTTTCAGCTCATCTTACTCTACCTCCCGCTGCCATGTCCAAACATTTAAAACACTAACAATCTTGAAATACATCATTTAGAGCTTCCTTTCTCATAAAACATCCCTTAATAATCCCCACCCCTATCCCAAAACCAGCTCTCCCTCAGTGAACTCCCATTGTTTCACTCTACTCATTGGGAAATGATCATTTGCAGCTTCACGGTTTTTTACTTGCCTTTCAAACTATCTAAGTTACCAAGGTCATTAAAATCAGGAACTACCTAAAACTTTTCTTCATATATTCAACAAGAAGAGACCCCTCCTTTCTTTAAATCAAAGATTGGCTAACTATGGCAAGCAGGCATGCCAATCCATTATTTCTATAAGTAACGTTTTGTTGGAACATAGCCACTCTCTTTTGTTTATAAAATGGCAGAATTGAGTAGTTGTGACGAGACCAAATGGTTTACAAAGTGGAAACTCTTCAGCGGCTAATGCTATGTAGAAAAATTTACCAGTCCCTGCTTTAAATCCTTATAGAAATTAATTCATGATCCTAATCTTACATTGCCTGGAACTATACTTCTATGCTTAGTTTCTTGTCACCATCACAAAAACTGTGAACTTCAGGCTAGGAACTGGGTCTTTCCTAGTTTTGTAAGCCCAGCCTAGCACCATGTCTTGTATACCACCAAAATTTACTCAGGTAATATTACTTCAACAGTCTCCAGGAAAAAAAAAGTATATTTGTTGATAATTTTGAATACTATATCTTTGCTACAGCTAAAATTACTCATTGTAAAATCAAGTTTAAACTAAGTTTATGATTGCCCACTAATAAAAGCCTCAATAAAAAAATCCACATTGCTTATTAAATAAATATTCAGGAAAATATTTTTGTTGTTGTTAGGACCTACTTTAAAAAAATAAAATTAGATAAAGACCATTTATAAACAATTCTACCTGTCTCACACATCTAAAGAGGAAAAGTAATTATCTACTTTTTGGTTTAAATTTTGAAATAAACACAGAAAATATTATTTCCCTTTCATTGAATTGAACTTATTACTATGGACTGGTAATAAGTACACGAACTTACAGTGGCTGTGAAGTTTAGAGATGGCTTCAAGACAGTAGCATAATCAAAAAATTCAATGATGTAATCATGCTGCTTGAAAAACACATTGGCACTTGCATTTCTCGAGATACCTATTTGAAGAATGGCACAATTTAAAATGCAAAAATATTATTTTACCACAATTTCTATCCACCTAATTTCTCCATGTATGCCACTTGCCAAAAGGGTTTGAGGGGATTAAGAAATCAGAGGACACAAGCCTTGTTTCCATACTGGCCTTGAAACTAAAAGAACCACATCATTCTATTATGTTCTTTACAGACTCCTAAACACCCCTACTACTCCCTCAGTGACATGAACATCAGCAAACTAGAGCTACTGAAAGAATGGTGCTTTGCTTGTTCAGTAATTGGTTAAAGTTGTTGAAATACTGACAAGTTCAAATAATTAATCCTTTTTCTTTTATTTTCTTTTTTCCAATACTTGGTTTGAACTCAGGTCCTTGTACCTGCAAGGCAGGAGCTCTTCCACTTGAGTCACAACCTTAGCTTTTATTTTCTTATTGAAGGAGAAAACTATCTAGGAGCAGTTAAGATTTCAGACTAAGTGATTTTTAAAAAGGAAGAAGAAGAAGAAACAGAGAAAAAGAAAGGGAGAGAGGGAGGGGAGGGAGGGAAAGAAAAAGAAAAGGAGAAAGAGAAAGAGAAAGGAAGGAAGGAAGGAAAAGAAAGAGAGAGAAAGAAAGAAAGAAAGAAGTTACCTTTTCTTGTGGTTTCAGGCTGAAAAATAAACAAAAGAGTAGAAATGGAAAGCATTGCAAATAGCTATCACATGACTGAAGTACAGACTTGCATAGAAAATAAGTTTCACTTTTATTATGAAAGAGTCCTAAAAGTTAAACTAATTGATAGTTGTGATAATTTCAATATTCACTAACATCTTTAGAAAAGCAACAAATACCTCAAATGAAAGTGCTAGTTACAATGAGAGAGATGACAGAGGAGCAGCACATACACAGCTTTACCTTCACTTCCAAGTCTACAAACCTGTAAGTGATTCTGTCACTGTGGCTACAATTTCTATTGGCCCAGGGATAGACAAATCCATGTGTTCAGAATGCCCATCTGAAAAATCCATTACCTTTTTCATCTCTTCATCATTGAAAGAGAAGTTTGTAGATCCATTTATCTGTTTTGTTTAAAAGTTCAATTTTATTTTTCATTTTAGGAATTCAAACACTAGAAATAAAACTCAAACGAAGTTACAACAATACGATACTCTGACTGCATTTTAATCACTGTAAGTGGGTACATTCTCACTTTTCCAATGCTGGAAATCTCTTGATTTTCTTATAGTCAACTTTTGTTAGTTCAGTACAAGATCTTATTTCTAGAAAAAAAAAAGTTTAAATTTTCTCCACTACCACTTATAAAATATCTGCAAAAGTTACCTTAAATTTTTTTGTAATATTTTTCTTCTCTCCCCAAAATGACAGAGGTAAAAATGTAAGGATTGCATCTCCTTTCACTGGCTTCCCATATGTGTACCTCAAAAACAATAAATGGTTAGCTGTTTTATGATTGTTTTCCCTTTTTATTTTATATTTTCAACATGAGAGTGTCAGAGGGATACAACGG